CTTTAAGTGAGCTAGATGGTGTAATGGCAAGTAGCACGCTTACGGTTAGGGGATCGAATCCTGGATCGGCACCCGCCCAGGCCAACCAAACACTCTACATCCGGAGACGGTAAATTGGTGCCTCTTCAGTCTCTTCTCAGGGACTAACTTGTTCTTCGGCTGGCCCACGCAAGTCATTGTATAGGCCACGTCGCATTCAATGAGCCATTACGATGCCGAATTGAAGGAGAATGCGTGTCGCCTGCCAGAAGAGTATTGAACACAGACGGAAACTTTATCCCTTAATTCTTTATAAAAGTAGGGGAGTATGAGGTGTAAAGAAGGGAAGGACGATGGAGTGGTACAGTGGTTGTAAATCTCCTCCCATTTCCTACCCGTCCTATTATCGCGGAATGTTGATTTGAACGGATAACATGGCTATTTTTTTGTGAATGGTGCTTTTTGAGGAACTTGAACTCTTCCAAGTCTAAAAGCGTCACTGAGAGTAATTCACTTTTCAGGAGTTCGTCTGCTCTTCGATTACTTCCCGACATGGACAATCTGTCAGATGCTGAACGACAACACATTCAGAATGTACTTGAGAGGGCTGATAGTCGCACTCCATACACGATTAAAGTACCGTTGTCACATCAGCTGACTGCACGTACTGAGTCGTTCCAATCGTCCGATGCCATCTCAATCGCTGTTTCGCGAAATTCACTAGACGACGGCATCGATGCGCAGATTCAGTCTCTTGACGACGCCATTCGAAGAATGTCGGCGGGACCCGCCGAGAGCTCTCAAAGTCCTCCTCAGGACCTGCCGAAGCCGCCGAAGACCGAAGAAGTGGGTGAAGCGTTGGACGCCACAACAGCGGCTTCGAGGGAAATAGAAGCGGCAAAGTCTGCATCTCCAGAAGCTCCTTTGCCATCCACGTCCTCATACGAGGGATTTGGATCATTTTTGAGAAAAGCAAGCTCAGCAATCTTCCATGCAGCTGATATCTGGAGTAAAGAGCCAGCTAGCGAAACACGATCGCCATCTCCTTCAGCGGCATCTGCTTCGAACATGGAGGAGATCGAGCAAATTCAAAAACAGGCCAAGTTGGCTGAAAGAGGGGCAGATGGCGGTCGTGCTCTCCACCCCGCTACCTCCGATAGCCTCCAGGCTAGAAAAACCGATTACGGCAAGGCCCTAGGGACTGATTCAAGGACAGCAGTCAAAAGTGGAGGGGAAAGCGAGTTGACGTTCGAAGAGCTGGAACACATAAGAAGGGTCAGTGAATTGGCTGAGAAGGATTTCACGATGATGTCCGGCAGAGCTGAACCTCCAAAGAGCCCTAGGCCAACAGAAGCCGGGAAGCAAGGTGGAGGCGAACTCACGCAGGATGAACTAGACCACATTAACCGCGTCGCTCAAATGGCCATGCACGATGAAGGGCGAGCTGCGCCTGCTAAGGGAAGCCAAACCGCTTCAGTTGCCTCTCCTTCTAGTTCATTGCTTTCTGCCGATGAGCTGCACGAACGCCGGTCTGTCTCTGATGTTTCTCCATCGTCGTCTTTCATGTTCTCCATGAAACGCTTCTCTGGATTTGGATTGCAATCCTTGAAGAATGTCGTGTACGGAGCTGAAGAACCAAAAAGTCCCGTCCCAGATGTAGCTGGTGGTACAACCAAGGTACTAGTGGAACCGCAGATTGCTCCTCCTCAGCCATCGGTGGAACCCCACGATGTCCATCAAGAAGAGCTGAAAGGATCTTCCGACGCTCGTCGAGAACAACTTGGCCAAACTGACGCCGTGGGTCTTCCACCGCCCCCAACGCAGGAGCCTCCCATGTTGTCCCAAGAGGAGCTCGATCATATTAACAGAATCACTCAAAGAGCGATGGAGCAGGAGAGAAAACAGTACGAGGAACGTCCTCAGGCTGCACCCTCAACGTCAACTTCAATATTTGGGGCAAAATCCCTTACCGGATTCGGCTTTAAAGCCTTCAAAGGTGTCATGCATAAGGCCGAAGAAGCTCGAACGGCGTTAGAAGATTTAACGGTGAAGCAGGAAGTTCACCCGTCACCTGCTGCTGTTCAGGCAGAACCACCGCAGCTCACCCAAGAGGAGCTGGACCATATCAACAGAATCAATCAAATGGCGGCAGCAAGTGAAGAAGTCCATGGACCACCTTCTGTTCCCAAACAGGAGCCTCCCGAGCTTACCCAAGAAGAGCTAGACCACATTAACAGAGTGGCCCAAATGGCGATGGAGACTGAATCATGGCAAGAAACTCGTCCTAAACCTCCTGTTCCCGAGCATCCACCAGAAATCACTCAAGAAGAGCTGGACCATATCCGCAGAATTAATGAAATGGCAGCGAGAGAAGAAAGCAGGGAGGGGCTTCGTCAACGGTCCTCTGTCACATCTCCTCGACGTGACGGACCGGAACGAAAAGAGTCGGAGAGGCCCTCAGAGCCTCTAGCTGAGCCTCGACCTCCTCAATCACATTTGGCTGAACCAGTGAAAGAACATGAACCACATTCTCCTACTTCCATATTCGACGCGAAATCCATCACTGGATTTGGTTTCAAAGCTTTCAAAGGCGTCATGCAAAAGGCAGAGGGTGCACGAACGGCCTTTGAAGACTTAACGATGAGACAAGACGCCCGTATACCGCCGCCACCTGAGGAGGTACCCTCGCAGCTAACCCAAGAGGAGCTGGACCACATCAACAGAATCAACCAGATGGCCATGGAGGGGGAAGAAAAGGTTCAAGCTCAGCAGCAACCATCAGTTTCGCCATTTGAGCGAACTGAACTTACTCAAGAAGAACTGGACCACATCAATCGAATTGCTCAGATGGCGAAAGAAGAAGAAAGCCATCGAGAACTCCCCCCGAAAGTAACGGATAGAAATGTGTCGCAGATAGGTAGACCCCCTTCTGAGCCTCAACCACCTCTGGAGGCGCCAAGAGAAGAACTGCCACCTGCTTCACCTCGTGCTTCTGTTTCACTTTTTGATACAAAATCTTTCACTGGGTTCGGTATGAAAGCCTTCAAAGGCGTAATACAGAAGGCAGAAGAAGCCCGGACCGCATTCGAAGACCTGACGACAAAGCAAGAAACTCCTTCCCCACTTCCTCCCCCTGTGGAGGAACCGGCCGGTCTCACTCAGGAAGAACTCGACCACATAAATAGAATCAACCAGATGGCTCTGCAAGATGGTGGCGCACAACAGGGTCGTCTTTCTCCCATGGCTGTCGCTAGTGGAGCTCCAGAGCTGACTCAAGAAGAGTTAGACCACATCAATAGAATCACCCAAATGGCTATGGAGGAGGATATCAGGCTTCAGGAAGTTGAAGGCGAGGAGTCCATGTATGACGAGGAATCGCTGAGCGAAGACGTATCGGACGAGCAATCCACAGAAACCGAGATGGCTTCAGAGGGATCCGTTGAGGAGGACCAACCAAGTCCATCTCTTTTGGACTCTTCTATCTTCAGTACCAAAACTCTTACAGGTTTTGGTATCAAAGCTTTCAAAGGAGTTATGCAGAAAGCGGAAGAAGCCCGGACAACCTTTGAAGATTTGGCGACAAAGCGGGACGCTCACTCACCACCATCATCTCTTCCTGCGGAGGTAGCTTCAGAGCTTACTCAAGAGGAGCTAGACCACATCAATAGAATAAACCAGATGGCCATGGAGGATGAGACAGTGCGAGAGGCTCGGCAGCAGCTCCCAGTTTCACCATTTGAACCCACTCAAGAGGAGCTCGATCACATCAACAGAGTCGCTCTGATGGACGAAAGAAGAGGACGGCAGGCAAGGAGGTCGCCAACAGCCTCCTATTCCCCAGGAACAAGCTGACCAGCTCACTCAGGAAGAGCTTGATCATATCAACAGAATTGCTCACATGGCGATGGAACAAGGTGGAGAGGATAAAATAGAACCTTCTGGAGATCTTGTTCAACCTCAGCCATTGAAGGAAGAAGGTTCAGCAGTTTCTCAGCGTTCCTCGGCTGCTCTGTTTGACACAAAAGCCCTTGGTGGATTCGGTATGAAAGCCTTCAAGGGTGTCATGCACAAAGCGGAAGAAGCCAGAGCAGTGCTTGAAGGTCGAGCTCATGTAGCAGAAGAACCAAAAGGATTTGAGGATGACGCACATCTTATCCGCGAGGACGAAGATCGCATATCGATTGGTCAGGAAGCGGTAGAATATGAAGAAGGACAAGACGTCCCTCATGAAGTCAAATCGGTCAAAGAGCATCTACCTCATACCCCGGTGCTCCCAACGAAGCCATTCAGCGGATTTGGTTTCAAATCATTCAAAGACGTCATGCACAAGGCTGGAGAGGTTAAAGATGCAATTGGAGAAGCAGCTTTGAGTACGGTATCCAAAGGTCCCCTAAAATCAGACACTCGGCCAGCTTCCACCCTAGAGCGGGAGGACGACTCAAGAGGACTCGCTAAGGAGGAACACGGACGTCTAGTCGATGATTTCCAAGAGGCCGAGCCCGGCTCACTTCACCTTGGCCTATCAACAGAAGAAGATCGATCTACACAAGTCGTGGAAGAAACTGAAGCCAGCCCAGATACAAGCTTGGAAGATTCCTCTAGTCGGCGATCATCTTCCGCTTCTTCACTCTTCAACATGAAACCTTTGGCTGGATTCGGTTTCAAAGCATTCAAAGACGTCATGCACAAAGCGGAGGAAACAAAAACCGCTCTTGCAGAGATGACTATGGGAAAGGCGTTTACGGAATCTCCACGAGCAACCGAGGAGTCGACACCTGCTGGCAGTGAACCACAGCTCACCCAAGATGAGCTAGACCACATCAATAGGATCACGCAGATGGCCATGGAGGAAGAGAGCAGGTCACAAGGCGTCCGTCCAATCAGTGGGCGAAAAACCGGCAGAGCTTACCCAGGAGGAGCTCGACCACATCAACAGAATCACCCAGATGGCGATGGAGGAAGACACTACGCAAAAAGTTCCGCCACGACCTCCTGCTCCTGTTCCGGTACGACCTGCTGCTCCTCATGGGCAACAGCTAACGCAGGAGGAGATGGATCATATTAAAAGAATCTCCCAGATGGCAATGGAAGATGAACCCAAGTACGGCGTCACCGAAGACCAACGAGGAGAACCCATCCGTCCTGATCGAGGACTCGCTGAACCTGCTGATAAGTACCAACCAACCACACCCACAGCGGGTTCGTCGATATTTGGTACTAAATCCTTTGCTGGATTTGGTCTCAAAGCCTTCAAAGGTGTCATGCAAAAAAGCAGAAGAAGCCCGAACGGCACTTGAAGATTTGGGGATGAAGAAAGACCTTCGTCCACCAGTTTCTCATGAAATACCTGGGGAAGTCACCCAGGAGGAGTTGGACCATATCAATAGGATCAACCAGATGGCCATGGAAGAAGAACGTAAACATAGTCTCCTTGCCTGCAGCTTCGCCAGAAAGACCGGCTGAACTTACCCAGGAGGAGCTTGACCACATCGACAGAATGGCCCAGATGGCTGTAGAACGGGACACTTGGCAGGGCGATGTTGCTGAAGGAGCTTCAGATGAGGAATTCCGAGCCGCAGCCGAAGCTGAAGAGCCAACTGAGAGAGGTGTTCATGATTATGAAGGAGATCAGTTCTCTCCCATAAGCAGTACCGGTTCACGTCGAGAATTCCTAAGCCGAAAATCAAGCGGTTTTGATATTTGCTCCATTCCTGAAATGGTTACCAAGCCGAATCTGAGCCAATGGTATGAGGAACAGTTATCGTTCATGAAGGAGTCAATAGCCGACGAAGAGGAGGAGGACCGCCTCTACGAGGACGAACAAGAGCCAGCACAAGGTTAGTTAGGATCTTTGGCAATTTTGCAATTTCACTCAAGGCTCACTTGTTTCAGCACCTCAAGAGCAGTCCACTGAAGCAGAGGAGTTCCACGATGACGAGCCCCGTGCAACAGCTAGTCCTGACCAGGTATTTTTATTTGCTTACTCGCGGAAGCTACTTAACCGATGTCCCCAAAAAAAAATTAATTGAGTTGGGCTCTTGAGAAGTTTTCAGTGACACTGCCATGAAAACCTATTCCTCTTCTGCCTCGCCCGGTAAACTCGTCGAACACTTTCTGAGAACATTCGAATTAAAGGCGTAGAACATTTCGCTAATAAAACTAATAGATAACAAGGCATGATGTGCCAAGGTTTACAACAAAGCCGATTAATAATATAGTCCATTATCTCGGAAAGGTGAGGACGGCCTGCTGCGCCACTTCATTTGAATATACCTTAACATGCTTTCTCCGCTGGCGATTAGTTCCTTTTGAGACAATCGTCTCTAGTTGCGCTGACAGAGCATGTGCAATATAATTGATTCAAAGGGCTATACAGGGGTGGCCAAAAAAAAGTCACTTTGACCAAGTCACATATCAGCAAAGTTTTTGCAGCCCAGACAGAGGACGTGGATACGAGTACCAGGGCGGAGGATACCCAAGATGTTCCTCTATAAACAGGAGCTGGCTCACGCCCACCACCTTCATGTACACCAAAATATGAAGTCATCTCCAGTCGCAACCTGACTGGAGAAGACCTTCGGAACTCATGTCACCTCCAAACAGCTGCGAAACTTCTAGTATGGAGTCACCCATGGATAGCTACCTGGAGACCAGTACTCTCAATCTGGAAGACCTCCATCATCGAGCAGCTTCGTCAACTTCGCTACGGTCTAGGACATCATTCTTCACCGTAGTCGCCGAGGCGCGACACGTGATTTGCGTTGAACCGTGCGAATGGTATAGACCGATTATTTTCTTTGTAGACCCCGACTGAAGGTGAGCGCTGGCGGTTACATCAAGTAACTCGAGAAGAATATCCTCCCTACATGTGGTCGCCCGTACCTTCTTGGAGACCTTGTGCTGCTACAGGTTTGGGTGCCACATGGAATCGAAGGGTTTTGGAAAAACTCCCGCCTACTTCGAATGGAAGGGCGTTTCGTTATCTGAAGAAGGTCAATATTGTTAAGTATGTCCCCTTTGACCTGGGAAACCACTCAAATTTACCCAGTTCGGGCGGAGTTCCAATAGGGTGGTTTTCTACGGCTGGCCGGAGAAACTCGACTACCCCGCTTTATCTTTTAGGTCACCACATCGCGTCGCGCGACGTGCCTCAGAATCTCTCTGGATGGCGTTAAGATCCAGGAAGGCTGTGCGGCGAATGTTTGATCAGTATTAATATGCTCTTCTCAAATTGTATAAAAAATGTCCGATACAGAATTTGAGAAAGGTGTTAACTTATAGCGCCTACGAAAGTCCAATGCAGCGCAAAGTGGACTTTTTTTATGTCCCTCTGTATTACATCAAACGCGTAGCAGCCGCTGCTTTTCAAGTCGGATTTGAACCACGCCCTCCCCATTTCCGAGATATGGAGTGTATATAACCCGTCCACATGCATACATAACGAGACCACTCAAATGTTCTTCCTACGTTCTGCTGTTCCTGGTATCGCTCTGTACGGGTGTGGTCTGGAGACTCGAATAGCCAGGACACGCAGGGCTGTTGCAGGAACCAGCTCGACGCTTGCGGCATTTTCTAGTTACTTGACCTTCTTGCTTCCATGTAATCAACCAGGATGTGTTGCCCTCTGCGAATTACCCTCGTGTTGCACGGCTAACACTCGGGATTTCCCGAGCCGTATTATGGTGCTGGCACAATTGGCTATCGAGTCAATAAGTGAATAATAGCACATACTTACTGGACTCCGAGGTTATGCCTAACGTAATCCGTTTGTGTGAATCCCACACAAGGCTTTGGAACAGTGCTACCTGACCTCTCAAAGGATCTTCCCGATTGTCTTCAATTTCCTCCTTTTGCCCCTTCCTTAGCCAAACGACTCTGTGGAAACCACTTTTTTTCCTGTATTCCATCGGAAGCGTTCCAGAACAGTGAGGTTATGGTGGTAGGGTTAGGTTCGTGAAGGTGTGGTCATACTGATGCATTCCGTTTTAGGGAGGTCGCATTCTGGACCACGAGTCCCCACACTATCTCGGATAATACTTTCACCTATCTCAATTATCGGTATTCGGCTACGATATATGCAGATGCATAGTAACAAACTACCAGGGATGTTTTCTAAAAAAATCTGCTCCGACGTTTTGCCCTTATTCCCGCGTGTGGTGGATCTGGTTCGCCCTAGGCTTCTATAACTCTTTCTGAGTAGGACATCACTCCAGGAGGAGACTTGGAGACGTGGCTTCTAAGTCGCTGGCGATGGGTCGTGCCTTGACGAACCCATCTTAGTCTCTCGGATACATGTTCCAGGGACACAATCCTTCCTATCCTCTTATGTGACTCTGTACCAGAGGGCGTATGCTGACAGACAATCGCCGGGGTAGCTGCCATCTGCTGGATGGTCGGTACGTGAGCGACGCCGCTCAACCGTTAGTGGAGAGAATTTAGTCCTGTTTGAATTTGGTGGTCAAGGACTGGGCCATAGCGCTCGGCTCCCCCCGCTCACCCGGATTAGCTCTGACTCTGCCCCTTCTCCACTTGATTTCTTATGGGTTTCGCTGCTCCAATTGACAAACTTATGCGCACGCTAACTTGTCTGCGCCACCGCACGATGCGCCGCGCGCGACAGCGAGACATACTCGATTGTCTTGTCCGTCACTCGTAGCGGGGCTATAACTGCATGCAGAAAATCGGGCTGGCACCAAATAATGCCCGCGATAGTGCTGCCTCAATCTCACTTGCGGTAAAACTTTTCTGGAAAATTAACGCACTTCACCTCCTTTCAGCCTCCTGCGTCGACAGCGATTAGTTCCTCAGACGGGTCCTACGATAGTGCAGGTAATTTTTATCATACTGTGTTT